GATGTTGGTGCTGATGGTGCTAGTGATGAAGCAGTGACTGTGATGGTGCGTATCATGAGGGCAGGGAATGATCCTCCAGGTTGTGTTTGCGAGTGAACTACTCCATGAACTACTCCATGAACTACTCCATGAACTACTCCATGAACTACTCCATGAACTACTCCATGAACTACTCCATGAACTACTCCATGAACTACTCCATGAACTACTCCATGAACTACTCCATGAACTACTCCATGAACTACTCCATGAACTACTCCATGAACTACTCCATGAACGCGATGATGGAGTAGCCAAACCTTGTCTGAAGAAGCTGGAGGCATGGAGTACACCGGGTGTCGAGATGGTCTTAGAGGGCACTTGCTCGATTTCGTTGTCTTGCTTTTGACAAGGATGGAGGGACTGCCGAGACCGGACTCTAGCTCGCAGAAGAGTTTCATGTAGGTGCTGCATGCGATGGACACCTCTCCTGCTGACTTGCTCCGACCTGCAGCGTTGAAAAAACGCTCACGACTGCATCGCTCAGCTCGAGGTCAGCTGGACCTCTCCTCCTTGGCCTTCGACCTCCACTGATTCTCCTTGTTAGCTTGTCCGTGGTCTCCTCCTCTCTGCTGCTCCTCTCGCTCGTGTCTTTCTCTTGTTGTACTCTAGTCTGTTTGCTGCTCGCCTCCTCTACTTGTCTTGTCGTCATGGTTGAGATGTTCTCCATCTCGTTTGAGATGATGATTATGACAACAATGATAGAGATGAGAATGTTGTTGTTGGTGGTGGTGGTGAGATGATCGCCGGCACCAGAAGCTCCTGTAAGGACATGTCACAACTAACAGTTGAAAGGTAGAGAGTGAGTGTAAGGACATGTCACAACTAACAGTTGGATTGTGGAGAGTGAGTGTAAGGACATGAATCTCTGATCTCACACCTCTCACTACTTGTGCCCCGAACGAGTACGCCCGTTATCAGAGCACCTTTATAGACCTTCGCCGTAAGCGCTTGATTCGGTTTCAGAGCCACCGGAATTCACAACAAGGATATCTCCTCCTCGAGCGTTCATCCCTCTTGCCATCTCGACGGACGGTACCCTGCACCCTGACACCCTCCGCTTCATCTGGTATCTGGCGGACATCATTGCTCAGCGCTCGATGCCTCTTGAGGATGCGGCGTTTGGTCGGCACTTCGTGCCTGATGACGGCCCTGCTGCTGAGGTCTTGGCTCGCAAACGCGCCGCCACCTATCAGCGCCTCACCATGCAGCTGAAGCTGGAGGCGCTCTTGTCTGGTGCGAAGCGCGCCTGCTTCCTCCCCGGGCATCGGTCGGGTCACGCCGGTCCTTGGGCATTGCCGCGGCGTCGCCGCCGTCACGGGCGGCTACCGCTGACTCGGCTACCGCTGACTCGGAGGCTAGCGAGGCTGCCCCAGGCGGACCCCCCGGGGCAACGCCGGCTCCTTGTCGGCGGCTGCCCTTTCTCCGTCCGCGGCCGCCCGCTTTGTGGCGGCAGCGGACGTCTCGACTGACAGTGGTCAGTCGGCTGCCTCCGGGTATCGCGTCTAAGGGATTTTATTCCTCCTGCATGCTCCTGCTGCTTGTTGCTTGATTGCTTGACCCTTAGGCTGCTTGTCTGCGCGGCTTCGCGCTTGGGCTGGCGGTGCCGCGTCTGGGTGCCAGCAGTGCTGGTTCTTTTCGGGCTTGTGTTTTGTGTGTGATTGTGCAGCTTCTCGCTGTGCGCTGTGTGCCTGGAGACACACAATGGATTTACTGGCAGAAGGTAAAAAGTGCCTCAAGCAAAACAAAGCAGCAACAAGCTGCAACTAGACGCGGCACCGCCAGCCTTAATGGATTTACTGGCAGGAGGTAAAAAGTGCCTCAAGCCAGCCGAAGCGCGAAGCCGCGCAGACAAGCAGCCTAAGGGTCAGGCAATCAAGCAACAAGCAGCAGGAGCATGCAGGAGGAATAACATCCCTTAGACGCGATACCCGGAGGCAGCCGACTGACCACTGTCAGTCGAGACGTCCGCTGCCGCACCATGCGGGCGGCCCGGCGCGGACGGAGAAAGGGCAGCCGCCGACAAGGAGCCGGCGTTGCCCGACCAACACCGCCCGTGACGGCCGGGCCGCGGGCGACGCCGCAGCAATGCCCATGGACCGGCGGGACCCGACCGATGCCGGGGAGGAAGCAGGCGAGCTCGGACCAGCAGCAAGCACCCCAGTGGTGTCGAGCAACTTGCCGCAGACCGGTGGTCTCATCGTATCTTGACTTGGAACTCAACTCTCCGAGTCTGCTGACATTCTCTTGTTTGTGCCCAGTCAGATAGCGCCAAATTAAACTCTTCTGTAAACCAAGACGACCCTTACGTGTTCAAGCGGAGGTGCCTTCCCGGACTCGGGCAGCCTGTGCCTCGGGCCGGGACCGTCCGACGGCCGTCACCCGTCGTGATTGTCTGGAAGCAGTGTGTTTCACACAAGTTACTTTAGTGTGCATTAAACTCGGCCCGACGGTCATAGTAAACGGCACTTCGTTCCTGATGATGGACCTGCTGCTGAGGTCTTGGCTCGCAAACGCGCCGCCACCTATCAGCGCCTCACCATGCAGCTGATGCCCCCTCATTCGCTGCCTCTTCCTGTTACTACTTCTCTGTTGAGGCAGACTTGTTGATTTACCCTTTTCTCCCGTTTTCTCCATTTAAGTAAAAATACACAGGAAAGATGCGACGGTGATGGAGGAGCGAACAGGGGGAGAGGGAGGGGAGGAGAGAGGAGAAGGAGCGGGCGAAGGACGGCTTGGGACCGCTGGTTCATGGAAGCCGCGCGAAGGAAAGATGCATCTGATGCCTTTCCTACTTCCAACCAGTTACGCCGACAGTGAGCATGAAGAGGTACAGAAGGTAGCGAGAGAGATCGGTGTCGGAGTATCGGACGACATACAAGCAGCTCGGGCAGTTAGGGACTGGGTGAGGAGAAACATCTGCTACGTGCTAGACGACAAGGATAGAAGAGCGAGCGAGACATTGCGGTCGAGGGAAGGCATGTGCACCAACAAAGCCAACCTACAGGTCGCGTTGCTTCGAGCGCTGGGCGTGGCTGCAGGGTACGTGCTGGTGAATGTAACGCGCGAGGCATTCAGAGTCTCAGGCGTGGAGGAGACGCTTGTAGGACAGATATCTGAACCGACAGTGCACTGCTTCTGTGCCGTCTACATCGAGCGATACGGTCGCTTCTTGCACTTTGATGGAACTGAAGATCTGGAAAGTTTGGAGCAGGAGAATCTCCTTCTAGAAGAGAGCGAAGACACGGGAGAGACGAGGTATAAGCAAGACTTCCTGCGAGGACCCTTGGGGCCAGTGCAGTCCAACATCGATCACCTTTTGGCGTGGAAGTTTCCTCGTAAGATACCACAAGAGCTCATCGAGGAGCAGAACTCCAGCTACAGGAAGCGGAGGAGGCTACAAGCTGAAACACAAGCCAGGTCCTTCACGAGGCATGAGGAGGCGTCGGGGGCAGCATCGCCGAACGGGTCGAGTGATGGCTTGGCTGCCAGATCTTGATGCATCCATCGGCAGCGATGGAGTAGAGGGTCGAGTCGTGGTGGTCCAAGTCAAGGATGTCACTGCTGTGCGCGTTGAGAATGAAGCGCCTCCTCCAGTGTGTCAGCTCCCACGCTATGAGCCCTTGCGGCAGGTCCACAGAGCAGGACAGCAGCAGCGGCTGCCTCCTCCCTCCTCCCCACAGCACCGCTGGCCCTTTGCCGTCGAGCTCGCGCAGGAGGCGCAGCATGCGCATGTCCCACACCTGCGAGGCCTCAGGAGGGTCAGCAGCGGCAGCCTCACCTTGAGCGTTCGCTCCCCGGCGCTCAGCAGCTGCTGACTCGCTCCCTCCACTCGCTGCATGCCCATCACCGTGTCGCACTGACCCTCGAGCACTGCAGCCGAGCCCTTCTGACGCAGACGTGAGGTAGGAAGCGAAAGCAACGAGAGAAGGGGAGGAGAAAGTCAGAAGCACTTGTGAGAAGGGGAGGAGAAAGTCAGAAGCACTTGTGAGAGGGGGAGGAGAAAGTCAGAAGCACTTGTGAGAAGGGGAGGAGAAAGTCAGAAGCACCTGGGCCCGCACGTCCCAGATGCGGATGGTGGCATCGACGGATCCCGAGAGGATGGTGGAGTCGTCAAGGAGGGCAAGAGATCGAACCGCAAGGACGTGCTCCTGCCAAGAGGTTCAGACCTGACGATCCAGCTCCTCCCCACCTGAAGCCTCAGCTCTTCTATCCCCGTCTCAACGTCCCACTTGCTGACCTGTTGGATTGTCAGCTCTCAGCTCTCCTGTCCCCTCCCCCTCCCCCTCCTCTGCCCTCTTCTCCTCATACTCTCACCACGCCCTTGTCGTCACCGCTCACTAGCTTCCTCTCCTCAAGAACCATCAGGGCGTGCATATCCATGTGTCGCCCTCGCATCCCGATCCTGCCGTCTGCCTCCAGCTGCTCTCCAGCTCGCAAACTCTCAATCTTGTCAGTGTTCCACACAGTCACAACGTCGTCAGGGAAGCTGCCGCCAGCCAAGACTTTGCCGCCCAGAACGGGGGACGAGCAGAGGGCAGACAGGCTCCTCGTCTACGCGAGGATGAGAAACACAAGCAGCCCTCCCTCCTCCAGCTGACCTCCTGCTTGCACGTGTGAAGGTGTACGGCGCCTCCTCCTCCATCGCTCAGGCGCCACAGTCGCACAGCAGCATCCTTCTCCGAAGTGCTCGCCAACATCCTAGCAGGCCCTCTGCAGCTCCGCTTAGATCTTCTTCCATCCTCCTCCTCCTCCCCCTCCCTCTCTGCTCCTCCTCCCTCCCTCTCTGCTCCTCCTCCCTCTGCCTTACCCTCGTTCCTCCACCACCTTCACGAAGGCGCTTTCACCTCCTGCATGACGCAAGATGGCTGTGCAGACAAGTTGCTGCTCGACCGGTTGGTCGGCAGGGTCGTTCTCCCCCGTCCAGCTCTGCTCCAGCTGGACTCGAACAGGCTCCCGTGGCTCTTCTATCGCCCGCACGTCTCGCTGCATCGCTTGGCAGATCTCGAGCCTCGCGCTCCAGCTCAGCCTCGTCCACTCCCTCCCCTCGCACGCCCCCCGCGCCTCCAACAGAACCCCAGGTGGCATCTCCTCCACCAGCCGCTGGGCCCTCGCCTCCTCCTCCTCTTCCAGCATCGTCGGCAGGCGGCGAAAGGCGGCGGCGAGTTGGGCCGCCTGCAGCTTCAAGGAGCGAACCTCGCTCTGCACCTGCTCGAGCTCAGAGCTCACTGGCTGGAAGGCACACGCGGCCTCCTCGTGCTGCTTCTGGTCGCACCTCCGCACTACCTCCTTGCAGCCCAGACGCGCGTTCCTGCATGGGAGCAGCGCGAGGGGACACGCGAAGGCGGCATGGAGCGCGAGGAAAGTCTGCGAGAAGGAGGAGCCGCACTGCATGGGACAAGCCACCGACCGCAACCTCGAGATGGAGACGGAGAGGTTGACGACGCCCAGCAGACACTCGGCCTGCGTTCTCAGCTGCTGCAGAGGGTCGCTGGCAGAGGCCTGGGGCTTGAGGATGCGGCAGGAGAGGACAGGCTTGCGGGCACTGCCATTCTCCAGTCCGAGGTCTGCCTCCCACACCTGCTGCCTTCCTACCTCTCGCATCAAACCAGCCTGCGTCGTCGACCAGACTGAGACTGTGAAGAGAGGAGGGGGAGGGGAGGGAGGAGGGGAGGGAGGGGGAGGGAGGTCTAGAGTGAACTCTTCGTGCCAGGCAAGCGAAGGGTCTCGCTTCACTGCTCTTGTGCTCATGCTCTTCCCGGTTCTCTCTACAGTGACCTGAACCTGCGCCTCTTCCACCTCATTCAGGTCAGCGTCAATAACGATCACGTAGAGCTGCGCCATGTCACCCTCCTCCTCCTCCTCCTCCTCCTCCTTCTGCTTCTTCTCCGTCTTTCTTGCTCGCAGGCCCCTCGCCAACTTCACCAGCATCTCATCGCGCCTTTGAAGGGACGCACCTCCTCCCTCCTCTCCCTCCTCCTCTCGCTCGCTCGTGCCCACGTGCGAGGACCCGAAGCGCAAGACGAAGACGCGGAGGAAGCGATCGAGAGCGACTGACTCCTCCCCGTCAGCCTCCAGCTCCTCCACCAGCTCGTCGATCTGCGTCGGAGTGAGAGTGAGGAGGGGAAGCAAGGAGGAGCAGGAAGAGGAGAGGAGGAGTAAGAAAAGAGGAGGAAGGGGAGGAGGGAACGAAGAGGGAATGAGGAGGAGGAGGAGGAGGAGGAGGAGGAGGAGGAGGAGGAGGAGGAGGAGGAGCTGTGTCACCTCTTCTTGCGTATACCCCAGCTCGTAGAGGTGGGCTTGTAAGGCGTGGGAGGAGACGAGACTCTCCCCCGACCAGTCGAGCACGCGGGCGATACTGATCGCCTCCTTGAGGGAGAGCAGGAGAGCCTCCACCTGCGAGCGTCGGAAGCCTTCTCCTCTCAGCAGCTCTCGACCCGCCTCAAAGTCTGCCTCTCCCCGCAGCTGCAGCAGGAAAGTGTCGCCGTCGGTCAGAGGAGGGAGGGGGCGGGGCAGGCGCGCGATCTCCAACTTCCTCTCCACCTCCTGCAGCCTGCCCAGCTGATGCTGGACGCGATCGGAGTAGGCGAGAGAGACAAGCACCCGCCCGCTCTCCTTCAGCTCCTCCTTGCTCGCCCACCGCCGCGTCCAGACGGGGACCCATTGCTCACTCTCTGTGCTGCCCTGGCCCTGTTGGAGGAGCTGGGAAAGGTCAAGCTCCGCTTCCCCGATCACGTTGGAGCCTGCGGGTTCGAGCTGGAGGGCAGGAAGGTGACATACGACGCGGAGAGAGAGAGGAGAGCGCGAGTTCATGACGTTGAAGAGAAACTTCTCCCTCCAAACCGGCTCTAGAGACCCAGCTGGGCTGGTCCTCATCACGTAGTGTTCGAACTCAACCTCACAGGAGAAGAGAGGGGTCGTCTTTCTCCAGCTAGGGCCTAGCTCCTTCAGCATCTGAATCTCCTCCCCCTTCAGCTTGGCGTCCAGCACGTTGAAGAAGAGCCGCCCGGCCTCCTTTCCCAGCTCACTAAACTCGCGCACCATCTGCTCTCTCCGGCTCTTTCTCGCTCTCTCCTCCTCTCGCCTCCGGATCTCAAGCTCTCGCTTCGCCTCCAGGGCCTCGCGCGTGGAGGAGGGCGGACGGGCCTTGAGCTGCTGGCCTCGTAGCTGCGCCAGGCTGTCGCTCGAGAAGCGAGACTCTCCCGTCGGCCTGCGCGCTTGAGGCCTCCGAGGCTTCTTGGGAGCCTCCCGCAAGCTGGGCTCCTCCTCCTCCCCCTCTATCGCCATCCGCTCCTGCAGGTAGTTCGCGATCTTCGACCGCTTGAGCTCTCGTGCCACGTCCAGGCCTGTCACTCCGTCGCGGTTGGTTGCCAGCACCTGAATTCCTTCCTCCACCAGCAGCTTCACCACCTGCAGCCCGACTGCCTCGTCCTCGCACCGCACGGCACTGAACAGCGACGTCTCTTCCCTGCTGTTCTTCTCCGCGAGACTCCCCGGGCGAGTGAGGGCCAGGCACTTGACGCACGCCACGTGCCCCATCCTGCAGGCGACGCTCAGCGCTGTCTCTCCCTCCCCGTCCAGCAGCGACGTCAGCACGTTCGGGTCGGAGAGCAGGAGCTCGAGCACGGACGTCATGCCCTGCCTGCTCGCTAGGTGGAGGGCGGAGGTTCCGGTCCTCGCGACGAAGCTTCTGTTGGCGCCTTTCTTGACCAGTAGGGAGGCAGCTGAGAGCTGCTGGCTGTCGATGGCGCGGAGGAGGCAGGAGAAGCCTGTCTCGAGCTCCACGTCCTCCACGTTCGCCTTCTTGTCCAGCAGCAGCTCCACCGCCTGCAACCAGCCCAGCTGGCAGGCGTGATGGAGGGCGGACATGCCGTCTCGTCCCTTAGCGTTGATGTGATGGCTAAGGCTGCCGGCCGTCGCCATCATCCTCGTCGTCCCCTCGAGCTCCTCCAGCCTCAGCGAACGAGCCGCCTGGATCAGCTTGGCCGACGGATGCTCCAGCAGCGCCAGCAGCTTCACGACGTCTGGCAGCGACGCCTGCTGGGCAAGCAGCTCGGGCGTCGCTCCTGCCGCATCCCCTGCCGTCGCGTCGATGCCGAGGAGGAGAAGCTCCTTGAGCACGGGCATGACCAGCAGCTCCGTCTCCCGCCGAGACGCCAGCGGCCGCGCCTGAACGACGCGATCAACGAGAGAGAGGAGGGGAGAGGGAGGGAAGGGAGGGAGAGGAGGGGAGGGAGGGGAGGGAGGGAGGGGAATAGTGACCTGGACTGCGAGATGGATGGCGGTTTCTTCGGCAGGGCTCGTCCTCGCATGGATCAGAGGGCTCTGAGCTCCCAGTCGTTTCACGATAGTCCTGATGCAGTCAAGGTGGAGGTAGTAGACGGCACAGTGGAAGGGAGTCCAGCCATGCGCGTTCCGTCGGTTGCAGGCCTCTGCTGCTCCGTTGTCAACGAGAGTGGCGAGCAGGTAGTCGAGGATGAGGTGCTCTCCCAGGGAGCTCGCGACGTGCAGGCAGTTGCTCTCCTCCTCTCCCGCCTCCAGGAGCATCCCGACCGCCCACTCGCTGTTGCTCTTGTAGGGGAGCGGGACGATGGAGGAGAAGAGCGAGTACGTGAGCAGCTTCTCGACGATAGGCTTGTTTCTGTTGCGGACGGCGAGGAGGAGAGGAGTGTCCTGCTGGAGGTTCTTCACGTTGAGCCAGCAGCTGTCGAAGGAGGAGTGACCCATCAGTGCTCGCAGGCTGTTCATCTTCCCGTCCTCGCACATGGAGTGCAGCAGCGTGTTGCCGCTGTCAGGGTCGCGAGCAGCGACGGCGATGCGGAAGGACTCGAGCTGGTCGATGAGGGAGAGGAGCGACTTGTGGTCGTCCGCCCGCAGACACTCTACCTTCCTCTTCTCCGCCATCTGCCAAGTCGTCAGGTCCAGCTGGACAAGAGCTGGGGGTCACCTCGAGGCAGTGGAGGCAGCGGCAGACTGCCATGGCTCGCTCCAGCTCTCCTCGTGCTCCGCTCGAGCAGACCTTGTCGAGCAGCTCCATCAGTTGTATCCTCCCGCTCGCCTGCGCCAGGTCGATGGCAGTCTGACCCGCCGCGTTCACTCCGAACAAGTTACAGTTGTGTTGGATCAGGAAACTCAAGTACTGCTCCTCCTCCTCCTCCTCCTCCTCCTCCTCTCCTTCTTCCTCTTCCGCTGCCTGTATCTTTCGCATGCAGAACCAGTGGGCTGCGTTGTTTCCCTGGGCGTCGAACGCGTGGGTCGCGTGCTCCGACCTCCTCGCGATCTCTCGCGCGCAGGAGGATCGGCCGAGCTGGCAGGCGCGTAGGAAGGGAGTGAAGCCGTCGGAGTCCTTGCGCTCCGCCGCGAGCTCGGGGGAGCAGAGGAAGAGCTCGACCACGCACTCAAGTCGATCCAGCGAGGCTGCGAGGTGAAGGGGAGAGGAGCCGCTGCGATCATGCGAGGAGAGCGACGCGTTGTAGTCCAGCAGAGTCTTGATCATCTTGCTGTGCCCTCCCTCCACCTGATCCACTCTCAGCAACCCCCACTCTCCTCCTCCTCCTCCTCCTCCTCCTCTCCTCCTCCTCCTCTCTCCTCCTCCTCTCTCCTCCTCCTCCTCTCACCTCCTCCTCTCTCCTCCTCCTCCTCCTCCTCCTCTCCTCCTCCTCCTCTCCTCCTCCTCCTCCTCCTCCTCCTCCTCCTCCTCCTCCTCTCTCCTCCTCCTCCTCTCACCTCCTCCTCTCTCCTCCTCCTCCTCCTCCTCCTCTCCTCCTCCTCCTCTCCTCCTCCTCCTCGT